GCACACTTTACATAGAGCACTTGGCACACGGTACACGACATGTATACAGAGTACCTGGCACAGGGTAGGCGTGCTTTATGTAGAGTCCAGCACCCAGGATATTGCAATATCGCATATTGTCTTTTGCAAAGAGCAGAGACTGACACGCAGCAGCTAAAGTACTAGCTGCCAGCCCCTTCCCTTCATTCCCTGTTTTTCAGGCTCCCTCAGAATCCATCTGTCCCCATCTAAGGCCCATTTTCCTGTGATCCCTCCTCTGTCCCCCTCTAAGGCCTCATCTGACATCCCATTTCCCAGATGAGAAGCCTGAGTCCAGGAGGGGCTCACTGCCCACAGTTAGAGCAAGGAGAGGGCAGAATAAGGACTCCACTCAGGGTCTCCTGGCTCGGCCCTCCCTGGCCCCATCTGCTCATGGCCCCTCTCAGCCTTACCTCCCATGCCCCATCTCTGTCCTCCTATTCTGAGTCCAGCCTCCAGGTATTCTCCTCCAGCAGAGCTCTTTATCTCTGGAATCGGACCGGGTAATCCCCAGTACAGTTAGGTAGTTTGTTCCTGCTCCTGTCAGTCATGTCTCGACCCAGGCCCTGGGTTACCTGGAGGCAGGACTTGAACTCCTGCCAGGCTGTGAAGCCAGAGACCAGAAGCTTCTGTCCCTGAATCTCCTAAGTCTGCACTGAGAAATGGTGTATAGCGAACTCCTGGACCACACGTGGAGAGGAGCTCTGAAGATGATCTGGAACAAGGGTTGGCCTGGCCCTGCTCACCTGCCACCTGAACTCTCAAGTTCATGCCTTTATCTGCCACACCCTTGGCCTTGGAAGGGCAGGGTGGTTGTCAACTTTGGGGCTCAGAGTCACCTTTGCACCTCAAGATCCCCTCTCACCCACCTGGGAGGTGCTGAGACCTGCAGAACCAGTGCCCATGCTGTGTCACCCTCAGCTGGATCCTCTGCACCCAGTTGGCCTGATGCCAGGTTTTGGTTGTCAGCCCAGGCACGGAAGACACACCCAGGCTATGGGGATTGGCTCGCCCAGCCCAGCCCAGCCTAACCCAGCCTCCCACAGCCTTCCCTACATCAGGGGCCAGAGGTAAAGACCTCCTAGCAGGTGGGGAGAGGAGATTGTGTGGGACAAGCTGGTCCTGACAGAAGGTGCCAGGCTGGGGGTGGCAGGGCTGGAGGATCTTGGCCTGGGATGGGGAGAGGCACTGCCCAAGGCTGGGGTGGGTCCAGGCTACTGACCTGGGAAACGTGATTTCCTGGTAACCGGACCCCTGGCAACCTCCCAGTGATTCAGGCTGGGCCTTTCTGGATTCTGATCAGCCTCAATCTCTCCCTTTCTGTGTAACTGGAGGCCACTTGGCTGCTGGTTTCCGTTGGGTGTTTCTGGACTTTAGATCTCAACTCTCGTTTACCCGTCTCAGACCCTTCCCTGATCTGCCTCTAGCACTGTCCTTCCTTGCCCCTCTCCACTGTCCCTGGAACTTCCTGGGCCCTTCCCTGGGCCTCAGTGTCTCACCCTCCATCCCGTCTGCCCTTCAGGATGTTGCAGTTGAGCCTGTCCTGGCTGGGCCTCGGGCCCGTGGCAGCATCCCCGTGGCTGCTCCGGCTGCTGGCCGGGGGCTCCTGGATCCTGGCCCGTGTCCTGGCCTGGACCTACACCTTCTATGACAACTGCTGCCACCTCCAGTGTTTCCTGCGGTCCCCAAAATGGAACTGGCTTTGGGGACACCAGGACCTGGTGAGTTTGGCAGCAGGACAGGTCTGGGATCTCAGAGTGGATGGAGTTTCTGAGGGGCAGGAAAGCAGTTCAGGGAGCTGGGTTTTGAGGGTGGCTGGGGTCTGGGAACACAGAGAAGAGAGGGAGGTGGCTCACCCATTCCTCT